ATAGATAGATAGATAGATAGATAGATAGATAGATAGATAGATAGATAGATAGATATATTGTGTGTTTAACTCATTCCATCAAAGAATCCTCATTACAGCGCATACAAGTGGTCACCCATCCATTGTTAGAAGAAATGACCCATTACTTTCTAATGTAGCCTCCAACATTTTTGGATAGTTCTTATTGTTACAAAAACATTTCCCCCTTATATCAAGTTTACATTTGCTTTTTTTTCTCCTTTTTTACAACTTCTAAATTGGTTTTGCTCAACGGAGGGCAAACTGAATAAATCCAATTCCTCTTCTATATCATGTTCTTTCAAATATCAAAAGACCAATGACATCTTCTCCATTCTAAGAATTTTTAGTTTCTTCGTCTATCCTTTGTATGGTATGGATTTATAGCCCTCGACCATTCTGATTGTCCTTCTCTAGAAGCTCTCTGTCTAGTAATTATCCTTTCTAAAATACAGTGTACAGAACTGAACATATTTCAATTATTATATGATCAGCATAGACTGTTTCAGGGCTGTTACCTGCTTATACTTGGTGTCTATACCTCTCTTAAATTATCCCAAGGTCACATTAGCTCTTTTGAATATAAATAGAGTTTGGCCCAAGAGAGCAGCATGGCTATAAAATAGTTTATGTGAAAGAAATCTGAAGATTTTAGTGGCTTGCAAGCTCAGTATCTGTCAACAGTCAACAAAGCTAATGTGAATTTAAGCTATAGTAAGAGAAGTATAGTATCCATATTAGAGAGATGGTAGTTCTGCTGAAAGGCTATGTTCAGGCTGCATCTTGAGTATGTGCTCACTTCTTCATGTCACATTCTAGAAACAACATTGATAAGATGGAATTCAGAGGAGGAGGACAATCAGAATGGTAGTGGACCCTAAGGCCATGCCATAATAAAAAGACTATTCAAGTGAACTGGGAATTCTTAGCTTAGAGAAGAAATTATAGCTATCTTCAAGTATTTGAAGGATTGTCATGGGAAAGAGGGATTAGATTTGTTCTTTTTGAGCCCAAGAAAATAAAAAAAGAGCAAGAGGTGGGTGTTGCAGAGTCAGATTTAAGCTCAAGGTAGGGGAAAACTTGCTAGCAATTAGAACCATTCGAAAGTAAATTTTGTGGCCTTGGGAAGTAGTGGGATTTTCTTCTTTTGAAGTCTTCAAGAATGGCTGGAAAACTGCTTCTCAGAGATATTGAAGGGGACATTTTCAAAAAAGAGAACTATCTTTTAGTGCTAACATTCTTTGATTCTTTGAAGATTATAAGTAGACTTACCTCACAAAGCAAGAGAAGGATTCAGTAACCTAGGCACATGGAACTCAACTGAACTAGATCAGCTAGAGGTAAAGCAATTAGAGTTAACTAACAAAGCAGTTAGAGATAAAACTGAAGGGGAGATAACCAGGAGATGTGAAGAAGATTTATTAGTATTTCTAGGGATCACTTTTAATCAGTGCTGATAGTGGAGCCCTGTATTTAGACTCCACAAACACCTTTGTCACAGATGTGCCTATATGAAAAATTGGAAATAATTTTAAGACAATTAAATTAGATTAAATTACTTCTGAATTCTGAGATTCCGTGATTTTCCTATTTGCCATTCTAGACAAATGGAATGTCATTTATTTAGTTCTTAGAGTTAGGGAGGAGGGATGCAGCACTTCTTTTATTGATTTTAACTTTACTAACTACTTCCAAATATTGTCATTTCCAACAGAATTTTAACTGACACAAAGTTATTGTTGCAACAAGGAAACCCAGAGAGCCGTACACTCTCATGGGCCAGCAGATCTCTTTGCCAAATGTGAGGATGTATTAGTCATTATAACTGGGCCAGACAAAGCACACACAGAAATGTGTTCTGGAGGCAACAGACTTTTTGAAGATACTAAAGAACTAAATATCAATATATCTACAAGAGGAGAAAATCCCAAATAATTAGAAACAAATGTAAATAATAATTGAGAGGCCGCTATTTAAAATGAAAAAAAAAAAACCTCAAGAATTGAGAGGACTTCAATAACTAACCCATATGCCTACTTTCTTTTCCTTGTAAAAATTTTATGAAAATTAGCTACCAGTGGATTTATATTATCCTGGTGAAAATACGAAAAAGGAGGTAGACTTTAGTAAATGATTTTGTAGATTGGACCACATCCTTAAAGTCACACAATTTATGGATATATATACACACACACACACACACACACACACACACACACACACACACACACACACA